GTTAAATCATTGGTTATTTTAGTGTTATTTGTGATGGCCTCGTCATTGCTTGAAATGCACATCAGATACAAATTAGTTATAAATTTCTTCCACCGTGTGCAATATCTAAAAGAAACACGCAAAAAAATTATAACATTACTCTTGCTCAACGTTTTGAAAAGAAAACCTAAAGCGTATCCTCTACAAACACATGCTCGTCCTTGGGGCGTATTAAGTCAGTGTGCGCGCGTACGGTTTCAGCTATGTATATGCATCGTAAAATTGACAAACTATTGCCATTTTCTATTTTACTACCACAGTGAAAGATAATAATTTTCCTATAGGTATCACATTTTCTACAAGGAACAAAACCCAAACAACTGACTCTCGATAGTTATAATAATGATTATTCTGAACCAGGACTCACAATGTCAGCGAAGGGTGGGCTCAAAATTTTCGTGAACGCGATGATTCAGAAATTTGTTTTTACATCTACCACGTAGTTGGCGTGAGCTGCCAACTCTGCTATGTACGCGCCAATGTGCTTGTGATAATTTTTCTGGTTACCTTCAACACTGTATTGGTGTTAATCCTGACAGTATGTTACACTTTTAAGCGTGTGTCGAGTGACAGGTCAAAAAATGGCGGATTTCATACGCTCAAAGTGTCAGTGTGAACATGCACACCTCGCTAGCTTGAAACTGGATTATTTGCACGCAATAGTATGCGCCACATTCAGCGGCTTTATTCGTTTGCTAAATATATATTTGTATAGAGTTGGACAAGTGGCGCAGAAATTCAGGGTTTATTTTGAAGTTAAGGACTCAACAGTTCAACTATTCACTACCTGTGCGAATTCAATTTGTCCTGGTATGCTTATATAACCTACCAGCCAGAAACCATTCAATCAGCAGATTGAATGGCAGGGCTGGGTATCAGTTTTAAGCCTGTTGCAAGATTCTTCGCATCAGTGACTAATTTCAAAGTTTTGTTGCTCAGCTTCTGACACACATTCGGTTGGATGTAGATTTAGTGCATTATATAGAAAGCACGTGATAAATTGGATCTAACAATGTCACTTAACATCTAAGTTTAAATCGGCTAACAAAAATATTATTCAATACAACTAGAATACTTCAGGATTTAGGTTGACGATGGTTTCCCGAGCTGGGAAACCTTAGCATACCTTCGGCCAGGACTATATTTTGAATGTAAAACTTTTATTGATTATGTATGTTTTGTGGCCAATTCAAATGAGGAGATTTATCTTCCTTGACTCGAATAATCGGATAGAGCAAATTGCTTAACGTGGGAAAAAGACGCCCGAGAAGAAACCGCAGATATCCCGAAACCTCCCAGCGATTGCTGTGGAATAAGAATCGGTATAGCTGGATGGCGTGACTCACCTGAAGAACAAAATTCTACATGGATGTTCTCAAAATTTCATTTCCTGCATGGTTTTAAAATTGAATTTTTAAATTCGATAAAAAAAAGGATATACAAAATTGGTGCATTATTTAAAATCAGGGAAATGCGAACGCTAAGCATGGTTAATTCGTTGTTTTCAAGTTCTGGACAATCGAAGCCGCCGAGGCGAAAGCTGACTTATTTTCCACCCGTTGGGGATCGCATTTGTCACTCATAAAAAAACAACTGGAGTAGTACTTTTTCTGACACTCCTAAAATCGGTTGCATGTTATAATACTAGTAATCCATTAATATTTTGCTAGTCTTCGAAACCAGTCATATACGTCTACATACTCAAAAACACTCAAAATGTATATCAAAGTATTGACCCGACGCATTACATCATTTAACAGTTTCGTCATTTCCTTGCATGGGAATTACTATCAAAATATGACAACAGAGCACATTCTATCAAAGTTCTACTGCAGATATTGTAGTCTTAAAAAGAACATACGTAAGTAGCGCAAAAGAACAAATGCTACCTATAATTTACTATTCCCGAAAAATCATCAGCATACGTCCATATCGGGGACAACTTGCGTGACAGAAATCTGAATTTTAGACTTGGGCGACTTATGAGGATGGTTATATAAAAAAAAAAATGCAGAATGAATCTACCACTCCAAATGGGGGCATGGAATTTCGCAGATGACAACTATGAAATTTTACCAACTTTTCCTCGAATGCTCAATGAATGAAACAAAAAAATATATTTCGAAATAAATTTTAAACAAATGTCGAACCTCTGTTCTTTTGATGATTTGGGCTAAGTTTGGCACGTTCTTACGTATTACCTATTTAATATATTTCAACAAGCTTGATATCACAAAAAATCTCAAATTTAGCTATATTAAAATAATATGAGTATAACACATATGCTAAAAATAAATTTTGTTAGACATTTTTTTAATAAGTGAACAATTTACAAATTATGCAACTTTAGGATCGATTTTCTCAGAAGACCAATGTTAAAATTGCTAAATTTTTATTAGTATAAACTTCGGAGTGTGTGTGTGTGTGTGCGTGTGTGCGTGTGCGCGCGTGTGCGCGTGTGCGCCTGCGCGCGTGCGTGCGTGTGCATGTGCGCGTGTGTGTGTATGTATGTTTGTGTGCGTGTGCGTCGTGTGTGTGTGTGTGTGTGTGCGTGTGTCTGTTTGCGCGTGTGTGTGTGTGTGTCTGTTTGCGCGCGCGCGCGCGAGCGTGTGTGTGTGTGTGTGTGTGTGTGTGTGTGTGTGTCGACTGGACGTGAGTGACCGGCGCCCGCTGGTAGGGTAGAATGAGGGGAACAGAGGGGTGAGCCACTGCACCAGTGTCCCGGGAGGGTAAGGGGGGGGGGGGGGTGGGGGCGGGTTGCGAGAGCATTGGAGCGGGAAAGAGGGAGAAGGGCAGTCACACAGGAGACGACGGGTATATGGAAATCCCCCGCAGGGGGGGGGGGGGGGGGGGGGCGGGCAAGTGGGGCGCCCAGGGAGGGATCCGTACTAGTGAAGTTAAGTTACCGTGAGGATGCAAGAGGTTGGAGCTCGGCGCTCTTCGATGCCTTCTAACCTAGATAAAAAATTTGAGGGAAGGAGTAAGGGGAGGAGAGGGGGTTCTTTGAGGTTCGCGTAAGCAAGCCAGGGTCTTCCAGCGCTGAGTCTGCTTTGAAATTACATCTTACAGTGGGTAATACCGATTCCCTCCTCCACAAGTGAGTCCTTGTTTTTTTAGGAAAGCGGTTTATTGAAATATATAACTATGAATTATAATAGACCTGCCTTCTGTTAGGGAACCCGAAAGATAAATATTATTATGTGTATTACTATAAAAAAATTCTTCACATGAACACAAATTAAAGCTTGTATCTTATCAGATCTGCGGTGTATAACGCGAAGCTGTTACCGAGTAAAATAAAATTCACTTTCAGCTATTTTTAAGCTTACATACTAAGTAAAGCATTATGTTTAGATCATTCACCCTATCCACGCCATAATGTTGTCTAGGAGAGCGCTTGTGGTAGGACGCACTTACAACGAACTTACAATATTCAAGCTATAATGACGGTGATGCATATATAATACAATATTTTTGCTTTTTTGCCAATTCACCGCACTTACACCTTGCTACTAATAAAACGAAAAGAAAACAATGAAATTGTGTTCAAAAATAAATGTTTTGAAGTTGCTGCATTTTTTAAACATTGTATTTAACTTGATTTCCATGTCAGTTGAGCCTTGCATATACGCGGATTACCCACGAATCATTCGCGGATGTCCGCAGTAAACTGGCGGATGCGGATAAAAGTTAATTAGATTTGGCGGATTTCACATTGGATGCGGATTCCAGCGGCTGCGGATCCCAATTTGTGCCGAGGCGGCCCATGAACGTGGGCGACCGCACAGTGTACAGTGAATAAGTGGGTGATACTATGAAGTGCATCACCAAGGGCATTACAGGAGCAAACAACTTCCTTAGATAAAAGGTGCCAATGGGTAAAAAATTGTTATCTACGTCAAGAATATTTGATTCTCGGCGAAGATAGCTTTAGAATCGTCTATCCCGCCAAAAATGTTGTCCCCAGAAGAAGTAAGGAATGCAGGAACATCAGTCGTCCCGGGAACGCGTGTTCATGCTTGGCAGGGGAAAAAAAAAAGAAAGTTCTTTGAGCAAAAAAATAAAAAAAATAAAAAAAACCAAAACGTACAAGCCAGAAGAAAGCAGAATCCTGCAAGGGTCTTTTTCACCTACCAGTAGATCGAGGACTCTACATTCAATCCCCTGGATGGGTTGTACACTCTAATCATGGTAACCTTTAACGTAACTTTTAGTAGTGAGTAACCTATAAAATAAAGGTTACAAGTCGTTTATTTTATGTGTTTTCGTTATTCTTGCGGTGACTAAAGGTTACAACAGCCAAAATTTGACGATGCAAAGGTTACCATGAGAATTAGAGCCATGTAACTTTTGTGCAGTAACGTATGAATAACGTAGTAACCTATGCACTCTCGTCCGAAAAAAAAAAAAAAAAAGAAAACATCGCCTGATGAGAGTCCCTCTTTCACCAGGAGAGGGAAACAGCAGAGGAGCGCGTCGACAAGGTCACCAAGGCTCCGAGGTTTCATTTTTATAGTTTTAGTTTTAACGCGAAAGAAGTATAAGCGATGTTTTTTTTTTTTTTTTTTTTGTCATTTTTTTTTTCGGACGCCTTGCTGGCAGCATTCTTTCGCAATAAAAAGAAGAGCAAAGAAGAACAATGGCTGTGAAAGCCTGAGTTGCTTAGCGGTGTTGCATGCTGGGAAGTCAGTACGGCGGGAATGAGTGACCGCTGTCGCGGCTGTCTCGCGTGCGCCCGGGCCGTTGGAGCGCCATTTTTTGGCGGCACATTTCTTGCGCCAATACTCTGTTCGGAGCGAGTTGGAAGACTCTCGGTCTGTTTCGACAAATTACGGAAGCAGTTATGTCGCTAACCAGCAAAGACATGTGGGGTGTACTGCGCGGCAGTTGCAGGGAGCCTTTGTGTGACTGTCAGCGCTACGTCGTCGTGTGCCCATCAGACGAAAGCCCGGCAAAGATTGGTTGTGAGTTCTGCAATCACTGCCCAAGCATTCACGGAAGAATCACCGATTTGGGTAAGTGACGTTTCTTCTTAGCGGAACCGTTGCAGTAGCGACGTGCGAGCTCTCATTTTCAAAGCTCGTTATTTGTGTGCATTTAGGACCAAAATGATTCTGAGCCGTTTTATACGAGCGCATGTCTGTCCTCGTGGCACTCTGTGTCGATTTAGCTCTTTTTATGTGTAATGCCTGTAGATGAGCCCTGCCGTAGCTGTCTAGTGTCGTCAGTGAACGGTGTGGTGGTAATGCACGACTAATTACTGCCTATTTACATGCTTGCGCGCGCGGTGGGGATATGCGTGCTTTTGTGCATTTTACATAGGCGCAAGCTTGCAATGCACGGCTGCGGTATTATTATTTTTGGTAACTGAATTTTGTAACTCTGTACGTCTTATCACTCCTTGCGGAATGGCTTTTGCACCGAAACTTTTCGCACTACGTTCAGGGTACAAGAAAATATTTAATGTGTGGCATGCAGAATTGATATAGGCATATATCCCTGTTTTAGTCAAGAAATAAAACATCCTGCTCGTTTAAGGTGTGGTGCAGAATGAACGGTATAGGACAAACAATTATCTCGTTTTGTTGTGCAATTATTCCGTCACGTTTATTTATTTATTTTTATTCTACCAATAGGTGACACAGAGCAAGGACTTACTGTGCCACCTATTCTACCAATAGTTGGCACAGGGATAAATGGACCGAGTGAAGTGCAACAGCCGTATCATCCTGATTGTTCGAAAGGTTGGTGGGCGCAACATGCTCGCAATTATATATTAAAAAATCCCGTTATTTTACTGAAAGTCGCGCCTTAATAGCCAATCACTGTGTCCTAAATGAACCGCTAGTTCGATGCAGATTTTTTTTTTTATTGCTTTCTGATTTTTAAGTTTACATTTTACCGGTACGATAATATTTGACCTTTACCACTAATTACTGCCAGATCACATGCCTTTGAGAAAAGTGGTACCGTGCATGCTTTTAATGCTTGATTTACGCAAGCCTTCAGTGTATCGCTATATAAGTGTTCAAGACGTAAGTTCTAGAATTCCGTTCATATTTTCGATGCTTATGGGCTTACTTATGCATGACAAGTTCTTGGTGCTGTATTCCGCGCACGAGGAAAATATTTCTTGCTCGGCTACAGAATGGATGCATGCATGGACCATGCTTTATTTAACATGCAATCCAGCCTGCTCGACTGAGTCATCAGTGCAGCATCGGCGGCGTGAAGCAACCAATAGTAAAGTAGTGCGATTTCCCCCTTCGTTGTGAACTGATCCCATCTGTTTTTACCCTTTGTTCTACCTACGGAACACAGACCACGAGAGAGAAGTTGCCGAAGTGCTGCAAGAGAGTGCACAGCCTGGCTGCTCGAAAGATAGCTCACTATGGGTGGAAGCTCCACCTCCTTCGGACCTTCCTGTAGACATGAGCCAGCAACTTGCCATTAATGAATCTCCTGCGCCATCAAAACCTGCACCCAAGGTCAGCAAACACGTTTGTGTGGCGTGCAGGTTCACCAGCAGGCATTTTTATGCCTTTATGCGACATGTTCGGGAAGTGCACATGAACAAGGTTGCTTTGGTGTGCACTAGGTGTCGGAAGCGATTTGTCTGCATGGCTCAATATAAATTGCATACCAAGTGTAGATGCACATCTTCAGAAAGCAATGATTACCGCGTTCTAAATAGGCATGAAAAGCAATGTACTGTTGACTTGGCTGAGAATCGGACATCATTTTTTAATACAGCCGAAAGCTTAAGCAATGCTTCGTCAAGTGTTGCGTCTTGTTTTGAGGAAACTGGTTTGGATTGTGACTTAGAAAGTGTTCCAAGCCCAGATATTCTTACAAAGCTGTCATGTCTGGCGAGACAGCTTGAGTCGCAATATCGCTGTCCGATTGTTGGAGTTGATGGAGTTGTTGCTAAAATAGCAGACATCTTACAGACTGCTGGTACCGCAATCGATGTGTCCGCACTCGAAAATGACCGCGCAAGAAAGGCCCTGTACACTTCTCAGGGGATTTATGTTCCACCAGAGGAAGTGAAACTTCCGCATGGTGAAAAAGCTTATTTTGTGCCACTCAAGAGACTAATTGAAAATTTGCTTCGTCATCCAATCTTTTCCCGCCACTTTCAGTCTCCATTGCAGACTTCAAACAGTGCGTTGCTAAAAGATTTTACTGATGGCATGCGAGTTCAAATGCACCCAGTAGCAAGCACCCAAGAGAAGAACACTATTGTGATGCTTTTGTTTTGCGATGACATTGAATTGGCCAATCCACTAGGCATGAAAAGAGGTCGCAGAGGCAAGCTAACAGTATTTTATGTCTCTTTTGTAAACCTACCACCATCAGAAAGGTCCAAGCTAGCCAACATTTTTTTGCTTGGAGTGGGGCAAGCAAAAGCTCTTAAATCATTAGAAGCAAAACATATGCTTCTATAAGACTTCATTGCCACTCTAAATTTACTTCACAGAGGCTGCACGTTAAAAACTGTATGTGGTGAAAAGCTCTTTTTTGGTTTTTTGCTTGCCTATATTGGAGACGCATTGGCATGTCACAATATAGCAGGCTTTAAGGAAAGCTTCAGCAAAAATGTTCGCCTTGCTTTTCGAACTTGCACAGTACCCACATCTGAATTTCATAATTTTCACTATGAAATTCAATGTCCACTACGTACAGAGTCTCAATATGAAGAGAACCTTAGGGCAATTGAGGCAGCTAGCTCAAAGAAAGACCGTACTGAATTGTCAGCACAGTGCGGGATTAAGTCAAAATCAGTCCTCGCAGAAATTCCTAATTTCTCAATACTCACGGACTTGCTGTATGACCCTATGCACATTTTGTTGGAGGGAGTCATTCCTCTGGAGTTGCCACTTTTCAGTAAGTTCATTGTAAGGGAGGCAGCATGGATGACCTTAAGCCAGCTTAACACTGCCTTGTCTCGGTTCTGCTTTCATAGGCAAGTGAGTAAGAGTGACTATCCTCGCAGCTTTGAATCCGACTTCAGTTTTCCATTTGCAGCAAGCTCCAGTTTAATACTCCATCTTCATTTTCTTTTTATTATTGATGAATATCTGCCTGAAGAGGCTACGGAAGAACCACATTGTGAATGTTTTGTGCTGCTTTGCATCATCACACAGTTATTTCTTTCTCCTGCTATCTCCCCAGATGCACTTGGAGACATTGAGTGCCTAGTAGCACGCCATAATGAGCTTTTTGTGCAGCTGTATGGTTCCAGCTCATTTAAACCGAAATTGCACATGCTGGTGCACATGGTCACTCAGATACGGCGCTTCGGTCCTTCCCATCATCATTGGACAATGAGATTCGAAAGTAAAAACGCTCTTCCAAAGTCGAAGAAGTTCTGGAATTTCAAAAATATTCCATTATCTGTCGCAAATTACTTTCAGATGAAAATGTCAAGTGACCTGTGGTTAGGACCAGGGCAGCCTAAGCTGAGCTTTGCACAATGTGACACTGCACCAGCAGCCGGTGTACCAGTCAGCTTAACATCTGATTTTTTGCCATGTGGACTGCAGCCTAATGCTGTTGGTCAAACTGTTATGTCCGTACGTTCTGCCTTTATCTCTGGTGTCAAGATCTCTATTTCTGATGTGGTTGTGTTTGAACAAAATGACCATGCAATGTTTGGAGAAATAGAAACAATTGTACCTTGGCAAGACAAGATTTTCATCGCTGTTCTGGTTCTGGTCAAAGTGAGCTATTCAAAGCGACTGAATGCATGTATTCTTCTCAAGACACCACACGCCATAGTGATTAAACCTGACGATCTTTTGTATCCTTGGCCACTGTATACATATGCTAAAAATGAGGCTTTTTATGCTATTACAAAATGTATTCATGAGTCACCTCTGTAGTGATGCCTGCTGTTTTTTAGCGATTTTTTTTTAAGCCGAAGCTTCTGTCGAAGTGAGATTTAACGTGAGTTTATTTGCTTTCTTTATGCGAATTTTCAACTTTTTTTGTGTGCGGCTAGCACTGATATAATATGGCCTTAGATTCTAAAGTGCTTTGTACACCGTTCAACAGCGCTCTTTGTGATGCATATATGCTACGATACCTGCTAACCGCTTACGATAATAGTGCCTTTACATTATGGACGTAATTTATATCACAGCTTTTTATTGATGTATCTCAGACTCGGGAATTTGTGATTATGTATATTGTGATACTTCGGAATCAAGTGCCGTTTTTGTATATTACAGTATTTTTTTTTTGTTCTTTAGTTTTTCACTATTTCATGGGTTGTCCTATTTTTGTACGGGTCAAATCACAATCGAGCAGGATGCTTTTTGTGGATTTTCGCCAAAAATGCCATTTTAATAAAAGGATTTCTTATTCCAGATGTTGCTTCACTCAAAGGTTACACGAACACATGGAAGTTACCTATAACTTTCTGGCGGGCAGATACCTTTATAAAGTTTACAATGCTAACGAGATTGTAACCTTTCTATAAGTAAATTAGAGGTAACCTTTGCCACTGTAACTTTTACAAAAGTTACATTAGGAAAGGTTACATTTGTGTAACCTTTAACTTATAGGTGCACAAAAATGTGAAAACGTGCGCCTTTACAAAGGTTACCATGATTAGAGTGTACTTGCTCTAGGACGAGTGTCCGCACATGATTCTAGTAGAGCAGTTGGTGCATGCCATCCCAGCATCAAGTTCATAAGCAGAGAGAGACCTCCCATTAGCGGATATTAATTTCAGAAAGGCGAACCAGTTCGAATCCGTCCCTGTTGGCGATATTCTGTTGCTTCTAAAAGCAGCCTCGACAAGTTAAACGTTGCTTGTGTCTGCGTTTTTGTGTTCTCGAGAGGTGTCAGTGAGTTGTTTTTAACTATACGTTTCCGAGCATTCAGTTGAGAGCTGGTGTTTAAAGCTGAATTTTAGACGTTCTTTTTTGCCACAAAAACAAACTAGGCATCACCGAACGCTCATTCACCGCTCAAAGGTAGCGGTAGAGGTCACAACCCGATCCCATAACTTAAACAAAAGTTATATAAGTAATTTTCTGAAAATTTTGATGGGAAAATAGCGACAGGCGGAGTTTTCGAATACATGGGGCTCTACGGGCACCAGAAACCGAAAACGCGCGGAGTTGGGCTCCATTTTCCCATTGAAATTTCCAGAAAATCATTTATAACTATTAATTAAGTTATCGGATCCGGCTGAAATTTTGGAATCTGGTTGTGACCTTTAACGCTACCTTTGGGCGGAGAATGAGCGTTCGGCGATGCATAGTTTATGTTTGCGGGAAAAAAACAAAAAAAAACTGTCGTTGCGGGGAGTGAACGCCTTTTCTCTCCCCCTTTCTTATGTTTTTGCCTAAATAAACTAACACTATGATATTCGTTTGTGCTTGGTTAATTTACATGATGATAAAATAGGTGCCGGCTTGAAGCGGGTATTACAAAGGAAAAAAAAAGGAAAATCAATATATAAATGGCCTTCCTTCTGAACGCACTTTCTCCACAGAGCGTCAGTGCCACGGACACCAAAAAGTAAGTCATAACAGCGCTCATTTTTTCAGTGATGCGAAGCGTCTCTGAAAGTATGATCGCTTACTATGTAAAAAGAATAAAAGAGAATACGATAAAATGAGTCACCGAATTCTGCCAGGGCGAGTTTGTTGTATGAAGTTAAGCAGACGAATCATAGAATACAACCAGATATTGTTCTTTTAATTTTTGTTCATGCTTTATTTCATGATGCAAAATGAATGCAGAAATTGAGCGTGTGATCTGCTTCCTTATTTTGCACATCTGGTTCGGATACGGATACGTACAAAGTCTGCGGATGTGGATCGGATGCCGATTATCTTATTAACACCGTTAATATTATCCCTGGTATCAGTGACCATCACGCTGTTGTGGCAAATATCCAAACTGAAATCAAACGAGTAAATTCATGCGAATCGAGGAAAGTCTTTTTCTTTGAGAAGGGCAATTACTCTGGGTTTTCTGAAGAGCTTCTTGACCGCCTTCCCGTATTTGAGTGTCTTTCTGAGGAATATGATGTCCATAATTTATGGGATGTTTTCAAGAAAATGTTGCTTCAATTAACGGATAAATATGTTCCCTGCATAGATTCTAGAAAGCTAAAAAAACGAAGAAAACCATGGGTAACTTCAAGTACTCTTAGGATAATTAAAAGCGAAGGAGAGCATTTGATAGATATAAGAAGACCAAAAGTAGTAATCACCTTGAAAAACTGGCTGAGCTTACGCGTGAATATAAAAGGAGCATAAAGGGTGCTAAGGAACAATATCTTAATACACTCAATGACAGATTAAAAACCAACCCCAAGCTTTTCTGGAAGTATTTAAAGGGATGTGGATCGGATGCAGTAGGAATAAGTGAAATTACATATAATCAACAGACAGTTTCGGATGATACAAAAAAAGCAACGTGCTTCAATAATTACTTTCAGTCTGTCTTTTTGCCCAAACACAACTATGTTAATCCATCCACTGTTAGTACGGTGGAATTAATGCAGCCAGTTGAGCTTGGCATGAGTGGTATTGAGAAGGCGTTAAAGAACATAGATGAAACAAAAGCAACTGGACCGGATGGCATTTCTCCGCGTGTACTAAAGCGATGTGCTTACCCAATTTCGGTTTACCTTTATTTAATTTTTTCCAAGTCACTGGACACAGGACTTTTGCCAGATGACTGGAAGGTAGCTCATGTCGTCCCTATCCATAAGGGGGGGCCAAAAAAAGACGTCGTAAATTATAGGCCCATTTCATTAACTTCCGTCTCATGCAAAGTCATCGAACATATTTTATATTCAGAGGTAATCGGTCATATGATAAGAAACAACTTGCTGATTAATGAACAACATGGTTTTCGTAAGGGGTTTTCATGTACTACGCAACTTGTTGAATTTTATCATGACCTTGCATCTGATGTCGATGAGGGAGGGCAAATAGATTGTATATTCTTGGATTTTAGAAAAGCGTTTGACACGGTCTCACACTCACTTCTTCTCAACAAACTAAGAATGTTAAATCTAGACTCGGCTGTGCTTAGATGGATAGAAAATTACTTGTTCCAGCGTCGTCAATGTGTAGTACTGAATGGCAAGAAATCTGATTACGTTGATGTAACATCAGGAGTTCCACAGGGCTCTGTCCTGGGTCCACTTTTGTTTTTAATTTATATTAATGATATTTCTGTTGGAATTTCCTCTTGTATTCGACTTTTTGCTGATGATTGTGTATTGTATAGAAAGATTAAGAGTTCAGATGATGTCGCCCAGTTGCAAGCAGACCTTGATCGTGTTCAAAGTTGGTGCTCTACGTGGAAAATGAATTTAAATCACAAAAAGTGTGTTAACCTTTGTTTTACAAAGAAAAGGAAACAAATTGAATCTCAGTATTTTATAAATAATAACCCTATAACCAAGGAACTTACTTACAAATACTTGGGTGTCATATTGTCATCTGACTGTTCATGGAATGCCCACATAGAGGAAGTAGTCTTAAAAGCTGGCAGGGCAATGAATTTTATCCAACGTAACTTAAAATGCTCACAACCTAACTTAAAGACAACTGCTTATTTAACATGTGTTAGACCCATTTTAGAGTATGCATGTGCTATCTGGGATCCAGCCCAAAAAACGTTGATAGATAAGCTGGAGAAAATACAAAACAGGGCGGCTAGGTTTGTTCTTGGACGATACGGGAGGAAAGAAAGTTGTACAGAAATGAAAAAAATGTTAAACTGGGAACCACTTTCCGTACGTCGGGAAAAACTGCGACTAAAATTTTTATACTCAATAGTTAAAAATAAAACGGGAATAAATAGCGAGACTTACTTAAAAGAACCCTATTATGTTTCTAGTCGTAATGATCATAGTCTTAAAATTAGAGAGTACCGCGCTAGGACATGCATGTTTGCAAACTCCTTTTTTGTACGAACAATTGCACACTGGAATCGGCTGTCTGAAGAGCAAGTGTGCTGTTTCAATGAAGACGTGTTCTTTTTATCCTTGTAACCCCCCCTGCTGTAACGCCCTTGGGCACTGCGGGGTAATCATTGAATAAAGAATAAAGAATAAAGATTAAACTGTTATCCACACAGGGCTCTACAAAGGAGTGCTCCGAAACCACATATTTTTTTTTTGCTCGAATGAAACATTAGATCCCAATACCGTGCCTACATTGGGATTAGACATACATCGAATCTAAAGTGCACTTAGATACATCTTAATTCTCTACATAATGGGAAATTAATAATGATTCATAAAGATTTTGACTACTTTACCACGTTTCTTGAGGCGAAAACGAGAGTTGGACGCACATTTTACAGCCCAGTGAATGCAGTGTGAAGCAAAAAAGGATCCACATATTTGTAAAAAAAGAAAATATGAAACAATAAATATTTTCAGTTGCTTTTTCTTCTGTTTTGGCCGGGGGGGGGATGTTACGATTTATATTCTGCTTTCGTTTTCGCAAAAAAACGAAAACACAAACAATTGTAAAAATGGCTGTGCAGTGCAGTAACCTGAAGTGTTCGCCAAACGGGGTAGCTTTCGTCGGAACCTTCAGAGGCGGCATCGAACTGCGCTCGAGTCAATGAAACTCAATTCCTCGGTTAGATGAGCCAATTCCGATGGACGAATTCCGAGCTCCCAAGCCGAGGAGAAACTCGCGTGACGAATAATTTACTGCCTGTTTCCTTTAGAAGGAAAAAAAAGAAAGCTGATCTGGTTTCTTTTCTTTTATTCGGTGACAAAGGCCGAGGAGCGTTTCGTGCCGAACACAATTTTCTTCGGCAGCATCGCTTGAAAGAAGAGGTCAATAAAGCAAAACCCCGGGTAAGATCTAAGAAGTGCAGGTCTATTTCCTGAAATAAAACCTAGCTTCCCCAAGAAATTCACATATAAGGAAGGGCCGAGGAGAAAGCAGAAGCACAAGAAAGATGGGTCTTTTCTACTACAGCAGTGTGAAGTGGGCAAAGAAAACAGGAGAGAATGAAAGGGGGGGGGGGGGGACCACCCGCACTGGAGGAGAAAATAATTTCACGGGCACTTCGTCGTTTGATGAGGTCCGACCAGTAAGGTGTAAAAGATCGCTTCGAATTTAGTTCTTTTCCTCTCGGCATCGCGAATTTGCAAAAC